AGGAACACTGATAGCAAGATAATTTCACATCCTTTGAAATCAGTATAAAAATTCAAGAAAGAAAATACGCCGTGCTTTGTGGGAAACACTTTTTTGCCTGCTCATGATCTATTTAAGCCATCAAAACCAAATCTCAGTGTTTGAATTCGGCAATCTTTAGATTTATGTCCTTGTGCTCGTAAAATTTTTTGCGCGAATTATGATTCCAATCTTTATTCATAAAGCCACCAACTTGCTTGTAAGCAACGCTCGAAGAGGAAGCCATCGACAGCCTTCCCAGTAGATGGTTGTTTTTGGCATTTGCTATCTTTGGAATATTTCCGAGTGCCTCCGCTTCTCAGAAATAACGAATACAAAGGGGATTTTTGACTTTTGTTTTTAAAATGGTGAAAACAAAAAGTTTTAAAGCTGTTATAGGACATGACTCTCAATAAAAATGGGGATAACGTAGTGAAAAAACAGGCCTTTGCTGGAATCGCGCTGTCGACGTAAGGACCGAAGCGTGTCACGTGCATCGAGAAGTGTTACCACACAACTGGACAGTTCGACAACCGATTTTGCTTCATTTTCACATCGTTCATAGAGAAAATAATCATTTTTTGATGTCGCTGAGCGCAATGTTCGGGCTTTCGCCTAAGCTATTCTCTGCTGTATTATTTTGATTGCTATCTTTGCAGCTGACAAATTTTCCAATTACTTTGACCAATGGTCACTTATTGACCATCTTACTGGCGACTCTGTGTTGCTTCTATATCTAACTCCGTCTTCTTACTTAACTGTAAAGATATAATAGTAAATCCTGCTTTAATTTTTCGTTTTTCAGTACCGTCTAGCTTTAACTGAAAATTGATTTTGTCCTCACTTCAATCGAATTTGTTATACCTGTACGTCTTTTTCTGATATTTCTAAACTCATTTTACCTCATTTCTTAATTTCTACAAGGCTACGATGCAAGCAAAGCGAAAGAGACTTCCTCGAATACCCTGATACTGCTAAAGTCAAGTCCTAGAATTTCACTACAGCAAAAGATTGAATAAATAAATATATAAGCCTCTTAGGAGAAGAGATAATAGAAAAACCCCGTCTCTTAGTTAACCCTCCCCTTCCATTGTCCCAATATATAACTCAAATAAATTACACCACGATAGAAGGCTAAGAATTACAATGGCGTGTGTGAATTTTAGAAAATTTGCTCCCTGCGACTTGAAAAAATACCAGTTCTCTCAGTTTTATTCGAAACTGGTAGATAATTTCCCCGTAACAAATAATCATACAGATCAGAACAATAGATAAACAGAAAAAAAAACATGCGAAAACAAATAAAAGGAAAACAACAGATACCTTTAAAAAACATTTGACAGCACTGGCATACCAAAAATCACGTAATTTTTCAAAATTCATTGAAAAACTTTTTCTCTCCATACCTAAACAGATTTGTAGCCGATCAAAAAAATCAGATTTCTAGTTCTACGGTTTAGAATTAGCAACATTCAAGACAGGACGGTGATATACAATATACACCAGTGACATCTCGAAACAGCTAAAATCTTATCAAGCACTTGTCCGGGCGGGGAAGGGGGAAGGAGGGGCGGGGGAGGGGGGAGGGGGTCTTAAACCGGCAGTCCCCAGTCCCTTCAAGATATGAAACACAAGTCGGGACCGCTAGCAGAATGATCAACAGGCGATGCAGCATTGGCCAAAGCAACCGGAAAAATTGCTGGATGCGTAGCTGAAGAATCAAACTATGAACAGATTATCATGATAACCGTAAAACAAATTATCGTAAAGATAAACAAGAAATATCGTAATATTAAATTATCGTAATATTCCCTACCCGGATCTGAATACTATGAACACAAGATTGTTGAGATACATCCGCTACTTCATCTAATTTTCAAGGTCATTCAGACTATCCCTGGCTA